ATCCTCCTCCCTTCCTTTTCCTTCTGAATAATTTCTCCCTGTCGCACCCCGAGGCCAGATGTTATGGCGGTCCGGGCTTTTCGCCTGAGACTCCCTCACCATTTCTGACCCTGAACCTTAAACACTGGCAACAGTTTCACATATGGAGGGCGGGTCGTTTTCAAAATGTGGCCCTCGCTCTTGCTCCGCGCACATTTTTTCAAATATTTGCAAGAGCTTCCCAGATTGAGGGCGGTTCCTTTTCAAAATGTGGCTCTCGCCTGTGGGGCCGCGCATATTCGTTTCAAACAATGGCAGACGTGTCACGGATTGAGGGTAGTTCTTTTTCAAATTTGATTCTTTCCTTAGCGCCGAGCACACTCGTTTTTATTTCTTGTTTGAACTTCCGAGAGTTTGGCGGATTTCCAAGGTCAGCGTACCAGAAATTGTGTTTTGGAAGGATTCAGGATTATGATGGCGCAACAGTTACATTGATTCGCGGTGTTGAAGTCCCAGTACTGGCGTTCTGGCACGATTCAGGGATCGTCAAGACGTAACAGTCAGATCGATCCGTGGCGCTGGTGTCCCCGGAACGACGTTTTGGCACGCATCAGGGTTTTCAAACGGTTGTCTTCCAACGAGGCAACCTGCCTCAGTGGAACCCGGTGTGGCATCTCGAGGCACCTCGCAACGGCGGCGCGGATAACGCCTGGAGCGGGTCCGTGCCGCCGTTTGTGTTGCGAGGTCCGACTGCATGTCAATTCATGCAGGCCCCTTGGGCACCTCCCTTCGGGTTGTGTCGCCCAGGTGTTCTGTCCGGGCACAAAAAAAGGAAATGAGCCCTTGCAGGAGCCCTGTGAGAAGGGAGCCCGGAGGGAGGGTTTGCTGCAGCATCGTTGATGGCTATCGGGTCTGCGGCTGGTCCTCCCCCTGCTCCTCGTCGGAGATCGGGGGGGCGCCGTGGCCGAGGCGGTGATCCGCCTGGGCAGCGATGAGAGCGGCCTGGAGGAGGACCACCCCGCGCGGGCCGTGCGCGGGGGCCGCTCTGCTCCTCGCCGCGAGGTCTCGGCGCCTCCCCCCGCCGCCGTCGCCCCCCCCCCCCCCCCCCCCCGCTTGGTTGGCATCGCTCGGACGTGCGCATTTCCTCCTACGGCGAGGACCATCGAGGAGCATCCTGAATCATTATGGCGAGAAACACGCACGAAACCGACAAACAAAACACAGGGAATGGACGTCCGAGCGATGGCCAGCCCAGGCTCGGCCCCGGCGCGTCCGCAGCTCGGCGAGCGCTCGCCCTCGGCCCCACAGGCTCTCCGTGGGCCGCCCGGCGGGCTCGCCACGGAGGAGCGCCCCGAGCGCGCTCCGCTGCTCGCAGAGCGCCGAGACTCGCAGGCTTCACGGACAAAAAAAGAAGCAGGAGGGCGGGAGGGGGGGGAGGAGGAGGAGGAGGAGGAGGAGGAGGAGGAGGAGCAGGAGGAGGAGGAGGAGGAGGATGTCGGACGACAGTTGGGGGGCTGTGCATGGGGAGGGGTCTTCCCGGATGTCGTGGATCGTAGGAGTCTCCCGCGGCGGATCCGGGCCCTCTGCGAGCCGTGCCTCTCTGCGAGCAGTGGAAGGCGCTTGTCTATAGAGGAAGCGGGTCCCGAGGGAAACTGGTCCTGAGGCTGTTCGCCGTGGTTTGGCCTCCTGGGGCCCTCCACGGGGGCCCCGGAGACTGTCAGATAACGCTTCGGATAATTGATTCCGGGGGAGGCCCCGGGGTCCAGGACCCGTTTCCTTCAGGACCTGTTCCCCTCATGCTTGATGGGGTCCGAGCAGGTGGGGTCGGAGGATCGCGCCGCATCGCCGACGTATCAGCGATGCGGCTCGGTGTGCATCCCCATTTTCTCCGCGCCGACGTCGCCGATGCATTGCCGACGTCGCCAGTGCATTGGCGATGCGGCGCGACCCTCCGACCCAATCGTTTTGTCACCACAGGGGGGGCCGCTGACCATCCTCGCCGAAGTCACGGAAGTCCTGATTGAGACGGACGGAACATGTGTTGAATTTAATCGTTTCGCTCATTCCGCTGGCTCGTTGTCGCGCACTGGAAGTCAGTGCACTGGAAGCTCTTGGGAGTTCTCCGAGGCTTTCGGGGACGTCTTAACCTGGAGCCATTTTGGGGCTCTTGGGAGCCTTTTGGCGGCCTCCTGACCGCCTGTTGGGGGCCTCTCGGGGCCTCCTGGCGACCTCTGGGGACCTCCTGGGGCTGCTTATGGCCGAGTGCTCGAAATGTTGTTTCGCATTCCCCTCTGGGGCCTCTCTTGGGGCGTTCTTGGGGCCTTCTTGGGCCGTCTTGGAGCCGTCTTGGGCGGTCCTGGAGCCCTCTTGGGCCGCCTTGGGGCTCTCTTGGGGCCCTCTTGGACCATTTTGGGGCGATCTTGGGGACCTCTTGGGCCGTCTTGAGGCGTCGGGAAGCCGAAAAGGGGGAAACGCCCAAATCTGTCCAAAACCTAACGACAATCAATGAACTTTACCTCTTGGGGCCCTCTTGGGAGTGCTTTCGGAAGTCTCTTGGGGCGTCTGGGGGCAATCCTGGGCATCTTGGAGCGATCTTGTGGCATCTCGGTTCCCTCTTGTTCTATCTTGGGGGCCTCTTGGGGGCCCCTTGGCTCCTTCTTGGGGCTCTCTGGAGGGCCTTGCGGGCGGCGCCCACCCGACCCGACCTGGCCGGCCGGGGATCTCTGACCCGACCTGGCCGGGGACCGCCCAGGGTAATTTTCGTCCGGGGACCCCCAGAGGCCGCTCCGCGCGCGCGAAGTAGACATACTGTGCGCAGTTCATTACCGGAGATTTTAGTACGTCTCTGGCCCGTTGGGCTGGCGAATTCTTATTCTCCGGAAGAGTGGTGCCGACTCCGCCGGGCACCGAACAGATCGTGGAGATGCGACTCCGCCAGGCTCTCTGAGGAACCGATACTGGTATGGGGCTGTCTCGGGCTGCAGCGAACGTGATTCTAGCCACGCGAGCATGGAGAGAACGCATTGCGAACGTGAATCCGGGCACGGCGGAGTGGGGGGAGCCAAACAGGAAAACGAAGTCGGATGGGAGTGAGGAGGTTCACGCAACGCTGCGTTACAATTGTTGGATATTGTCTATAGCATGGCACCACTATGTAATACTGCGAACGTATTTCCATGGCAAGTTCGAACCAAGTTGAGTGAATCATGACATAGCAAGGCAAGGCCTAAAATCAGTATATGGTGCTCCCGCTTCAGCGTGGGCCTCATATTCGGATTGGCGCTTTGCTCCCGTCGTTCAGATGGGCGCTCTCGCCCCAGCGCGGGTCACTGTTCTGAATCCGAGTCTTGCTTCATTGTGGTCCCCCTCTTACTTTCCCCTCCTTCGCCTTCCCCCTCCTGACCCTCCCGCTCCTTCCATTCCAGTTCCTGCTGCTGTTGCTCGTCTCGCCCAAGCGCGGGCCACTTTTCTGAATCCGAGTCTTTTTGTATCGTTGTCGCCCCCCTCATTTCCCCTCCTCCGCCTTCCCCTGATCCTCCTTTTCTTCCCTATCCTTCCGCTTTGGTTCCTGCTGCTGCTGTTCGTCCTCATCCTTTTTCCCCCGCTTGTCCTCCTGCTCACCTGCCACTCCCTCCTCCTCCTGTGCACGAATCTCCCATTTTCCCGACTGCGCCTAGCACGAAGTGGACTTTCTGCGGGAGTCGAAGGTCGGCTATGACACGCGTCCGCGGTTTTTGAAATATCTGCGCCATTGGAATGGATGGGAGGGAGGAATCGGATGTCGGATGCGGCGCGAGCGCACGCCATCTTGCCTTCCTCCCCTCTCCTTTCCGCCCTCCTGCCTCCTCCTCCCTCCTCTTCGCTTCCTCCTCCTTCTCCTCCCCCTCCTCCTCCTTCCTCCTCCTCCTCCTCTGTCTCCGCCTGGTGTCCTCCTCCTTCTCTTCCTTCTCCTCCTCCTCCTCCTCCTCCTCCCGTCAGCGGCTCTACAGAGGATCGGCTGAAGTTGTGGTTTATAAGGGGTTGTTGTCCAGGGAGCTCGGATGCGAGCATTCCAATTAGTGTCGTGGCCCTGGGAGCGCAGACCCAACGTGATGTACAAGGGCTGGTCTTAAAAGTGTGCATCCCGTGTCACGTGCAAGGCATGGTGGCCCTGGGAGCGCGGACCCTTTCTAATAGTTTACGCGGAGTATGGGTTTGAGAGTGATGACCCAATGAAATTACGATAGGTGGAGGTAGGCTTCTGATCGCGGTCCATTAAGGCTGCGGAATTGGGAGTGCGGACTCAACATGATTTGCAATGCATGGGGGCCCTGAGAGCGCGTACCCTTATTGCATTTCACGAGGGGTCGCGGCCTTGTGACTTCGGATCCCCGGGATCGCGGCCCTTTGGCAATCCACGAGGGCAGATTCAGTATACTTTATTTGGAGTCGTGGTTCTTGTGGACCAATTTTGCTTTACGAGGGTATGCAGGAGGCAAGTCTTCTGATACCCCCCCAGGCGACGCCAACATGCCGCTGTGGGGTGCCGGGCGGGACACTTAAAGGAGGGCTGATTCATCACAAGCAATATCCTACATCGTCTGAACAACTCTGCAGCCACAGCAATGCGTCGGCTCACATCCTGGAAGCCCCACAGGGGCCTGCGGATATTTCTTTCAATGTTCTCATTCGCCCCACCGTTGGCAAACCGTAAATGCTGGCCCTCATGATTTATGGGCAAAGATCCTGCTTGTCAAAGCGGGTCCCGGGGCCCCGCAGTACAATAGCCGCTACGGGGAGCACAGTGCCCGCCTTCATACAAAGTAGAGCTTGTGGACTCGGAGTAGACTGTGCCGGTTTCTGTGGAACCATGCGATCAAGCATATCTTCTGAGTGTGGCGCGGCGCATCAGCCCCTACGTACACAAAACGACAAACCTTCTATCCAGAAGAGCCTGTGACCCTTGGGGGCGGGAAGTTTCCTAGCGCATCGCCTTATCAGATTACCACCCTCCTTCGCTCCGGATGGTTCGAGTTTTAAGAAGTGTCGCATGGGAGAATGCACACATATCTTCATCCAGTTTAACCCATGGGTTCGTTTAGAGAGGTTCCAGCTCCGTGGTAATAGTGGCTCTAACGTCCTTGAGCTGCTTGCAGCCATCGGCTATGTCTGGGCACCGCTCACTGCTGATTTGCAGTCCAGCTGCTGTGTCTTGCCTGATCGTGGTTCTACTTCTTTCCCATCCAGCCCGGCGTTTGGTTGTGAAGATCAAGCGATGGATACACGCTTGTTTTTCAATAGGGGTTCGACCTCTTTGCTTTCATTTGTCAAGCATGCGCCGCCTCCAGCAGTGCAGCCGGTGCGGCAAGGTGTTTCTACCTTGGGAGCTTTTCTACCAATGCGGCCGCTGCGAACGGGTGCAGTTCTGTTCTACATGCAAGGACTTGCAGCCCAATGCTGGCCATGATCATGGGCTTTACCGAGAGGTGCAGCCACTGGTTGTAGACACAGCCATCCTAGTGACAGCGAGGTGCACTTCAGAGGCCACTGCTCTTGCCCTTGAGTTGTATGGTCCTCGACCATGCTTGGGGACTCGAGTGTCTACAAACGCCTCTGGAGAAGCTACCTTGAGCCAGGACTACATGTGGACTTCATATTCAGAAGTGGCCTGCACTGTCGGACGGTTTTGCTCAGGGCTTTCGGAGGCACTTGGCGATCATCTGCGCAGCAGGGGTGATCTCATGATGGGTGTTCTTGCTTCAGTGAGTTTGCAATGGTTTGTTGTAGACTTCGCATGCACATTGAAGTGCATTCCTTTGGTTATCATGCATAGAGCTACCAGTGAGAAGCAGCTTGCCCATATTTTGGATGAGTCTGGGCTCACGGCCCTAGTTGCATCAGAACATTTGTCAGAATTGGTTCTCCACGCCGTCAAGCTCACACAATCATCAAACTTGCAGCACATCATTTGGATTGATGATATGGCCAGCGCGTACGAGCTACAAACTAAAAGGTTGCTCATTCGCGCTGCTGCAAAGCAATCCTTTGCTCCTGGTGTACCTGTTCTGCAGCACTCCTGGAACACAGTGCTAGGGCATAGTGCAGGTGCGCATGCCAATGTTCAGCCAAGTTTTGTTTTTGCAAATTCAGAAACGCTTTTGAAACTGCTTCCCTCCAGCGGTAGTACAGGATTGCCGAAACTTGTTGCTATCACAGAGGGCGCGTCGTTCAAAGTCGGAAGTTGCTCCAGATTCCAATGCTCAGTTGAGGTTGTCGCATACGCCTACGAAGCCATCCGTCAGACTCATGATGTCTTGCTTCAGGGTGGCAGGATAGGCGTGTTCTCTGGATCGCTGGATAATATGCTAGACGATGTGCAGAGGCTCCGGCCTACTGCATTTGCAGCTGCACCAACGTTTTGGAATAGCTTGTACAGTCAATTTGAGCAAGATGTCATCGAGCATCAGCGGCAGCTCCAATCAGATGGTGCGAGTTCATGTGTACATCGAGGGGAAATACTGCAAGATTGGATGGACCGGAAGGTCTTAGGCAACCGGATTGTTGCATTGATCTCTACCGGAGCTCCGCTGCGGCATGAGGTCCAGCGGTGGCTCGTTCGCGTCTTTGGAAGGGTTGTTATTAATGCTTATGGTACGACAGAGACTGGGTGTCTGAGCAGCAACGACAGCATTAGGGATGGTGTCGAATTACGTCTTCGTGACGTGCCCGAAATGGGGTACATGACATCAGATCGTCCCCATCCTCGGGGAGAGATCTTGGCCAGGACATCTCGCATGACTTGTTATTCAAGACGCTTCGCGTTCAACGCCCGCCGTTGCTGGTTTTCGCCAGACGATCCGAGTATTGGCCCGAGACGGGACGAAGACATGCCGGCAGCAGCGAGCAACGGTCCTGCAGGTGTGCTTTGCTTGCTTTCCTGCGGTGCATGCTCCTTCATGCCATCGCTGACTAGCGGACAGATCACCGTCTGATCGTCGGTCCTCCCTCGGTATCACGGGCTCAGTGATACGGAGGCTTGCTCGCTGGATCCTTGCTATATTTTCCCAGAGCGGGAGGCCAGACGCGGGCCCAAGCGCGAGAGCGCCACCGTGGCAGGCCAGAGCCGAGTCTGAAGTCCATTCAATTCAGGAGGGGAAAAACACACACAGACACAATTAATCGTCGATTCCCCAGAAAATATGGGAAAATATGGGAAGTGGGGGGGAAGACAGAAACCCAGAAAATATAGGAAAATATTGGGAATCCTTTTATTTGTGTGTATTTATTTGTGTGTCCCAGGGCCCCTTCATCAATGTGGGCCCGCGCCGGGGCCGGTCTAGCGTCCGATTGGGGGCCCGCGCGGGGCCCAATTATTCCCAGAGTGCATCCCAAACATGGTCGAATTTTCCATGCTCAAAATGCCGCAGGCGGCCCCGAAAAGGTGCCAGAAGATACTGATGAAGGCGACCTCCCGGTCAGGCGAACACCGTAAACACACATACGTCTGTGCAGTGTTGGTGAACATCCCAACTCATCGGCGAAGCTGGGCTGAGGAGGCGTTCTGTGGGGCCCAACACGCAGATCCTGGAAGCCAAGAAATGGTGCCAGCGTGGCCAACCTGGAGCGAACATCGGTTTCGATAGGGTGATGGGGACGAGGTGGACAACGATCTCGTCTTGGACGCTGTCTTGGAGTCGTCTGCGGCTCCAAGAGGGATGGGGCACAACTGGGCAGCAGGATGGCGGAGAATCCAGGGGAAAAGCGTGGGTGGAGGCGGGGGGTAAAGTTTTAAAAGAAGCTCTCAAAGCTAATCCCTCACGCCCCTCAGCCTGGTCGGCGGGCAGACTCAAGAGGCTTACGCCATTCCGACAGTCCCGAAAAGGGGGACATACACATTTTCTTTGGGCTGTACGGATTGCCCTGGCACGGTAATGCGCAGGAGGACAAGGACGATCGATGCGTGGCCCTTTCAGATGCTATGTCGAGCCAGCCTTGTTGAGTTCGCGGTGGTATTTATGGGGGTATGATATTGGGGGCCCGTGGGGCTTGCTAAGCTCTTACTTAGACCTTCTTGGGAGCTCGTGGGTCCATCTTGACGTCCATTCGGGTGTCGTGCTGCGGTTTGGAAGAGCTTTAGGCCGCGTGGGGGGGGGGGCTTGGGTCCGTCTTGGGGCGGTCTCGGGCCGTCTTGGAGTCGTTATGGGGCCATCTCCGATGTCAGTTTGGAACCTGGGACTTTGCAGGGCTTTCCTGAGTGCATCTTTGCGCGTCTAGGGGTCTCTTGTGAGCCTCTTGGACATTCTCGGAGCCTCTGCAGCCCATCTTGGGTATACACTGAGCCGATACGTTGGAATTGCTGCAACCGTTTCGCGCACCCAAGAGAATCTTGGCTCTGGGATACAGGAGGACTCGGATACACACGCGTGCACCCAATCGAGTCTTGCAATGTGTGGCCCTCGATGGTCTCCAGCTTTTGTCGACCACAAGGTGTATACTAGCTCTGTCCGCTCCCAGCTCCTGCTCCTCCCAAAAAGTTGTGGCCCTCGATGGTCCTCCGCTCAGCCATCTTGGAATTTATAGTTGATGACCCGACTGGTGTATTTGAGCGTGCTCTTAAAGCTTCTCTGGGCTGTCTCAGAGCCAAGTTCGGTTATCAAAGGCATTCTAGCGAGACACTTTGGACAGCTTTAGCTTACCCGTTCAGAAGAGACACTTGTTTTGGGGGAGGAGGGGAGGAGGAGGGGAGGAGGAGGAGGAGAAGGAGGAGGAGGAGAAGGAGGAGGAGGGGAGGAGGAGGAGGAGGGGAGATGAAGAGGAGGGGGGGAGGAGGAGGAGGAGGAGGAGGAGGAGAGGAGGAGGAGGAGGAGGAGGAGGAGGGAGGAGGGGAGGAGGAGGAGGAGGAGGAGGGAGGAGAGGAGGGAGGAGGAGGAGGAGGAGGAGGAGGAGGAGGAGGAGGAGGAGGAGGAGGAGGGAGGAGGGGGAGGAGGAGGAGGAGGGGAGGAGGAGGAGGAGAGGAGGAGGAGGAGGAGGAGGAGGAGGAGGGAGGAGAGGGGGAGGGGGAGGAGGAGGGGAGGAGGAGGAGGAGGAGGAGGAGGAGGAGGAGGAGGGAGCAGGAGGAGGAGGAGGAGGAGAAGGAGGAGGAGGAGGAGGAGGACCCAAAAGGCAGAACAAAACCGCGGCGCTCAGCAAAGCGCGGGCCAACGTGCCCTGGCCAACGGCCAAAGTGGCCAACGGCCAAAACCAAAGGGCACACGCGCAAAGAGAGGGAATCACGGACACAAGCTGGGACCTGACCTCCGGCCTCCTTTCCTTGATTAACTCCCAATAGCGCCAGGAACGCTGTGCCTTAGGGAGGAAATCAAGGAAAAGAAAGCAAACCAAGGACCGCCCTACACCCCGCGCCAAAATGGCGCACGGGGGTTCGGGATCGGCGCCCAAGGGACAATACACGGAGCGTTGCCCAGCGCCCGCACCCTCACAAGCGCGGCAACAGTGTGCCCGCGGCAAAAGCACTGCAACCAAGAGGTTACAGGCGGGAAGCCGCGGGCCCCGCCTCCGTGATCGTCAACGGTGGCTCACCTCAGACCAGGAGGTGCCACTGGGTCTCCCCGCGCCCAGGCCGCACCTCTTGGCCGAGGTGGCAGGGCACTAAAAGCCTTGGCCTGACAGCTGCAACGGCGACAGCGGCGGCAGCAGGGCGGGGAGGGGGAGGGGCCACTCTCCGGCCCAGGAGCGCAAACAACGTCCACCCCAGAACTTAATCCAGGGCCGTGCCGCAACTCCCAAAGAGGAAATGGGCGACGGACACGACGACGAAACGAGACACGAAGGACGACAACGAACGACCACGAACCTCCCAGAGGGAAGTGCCGCCCTCCGCCCGTTCCTTATCGCACCCGCGAGCGGGCGGGATAAGGAGCGTGACATCATCGGACCCACACCGCATGCAGGCGGTGCCACACGGAGCCCAGGCTGCACCGCTTATCCGCGGTGGCGAGGCATTTGGAAATTGCCTCGGCCTGACGGCGGGAGGAGGAGGAGGAGGAGGAGGATGAAGAGGAGGAGGAGGAGGAGGAGGAGGAGGAGGAGGAGGAGGAGGAGGAGGAGGAGGAGGAGGAGGAGGAGGAGGGGGGGGCAACTGGGAGCGGGGGGGGGTCAGGGGGAGGTGAACGGTCAACGCTTCACACGGCTTCTCATCCCTGGCAAGCGAGGGTCGGCAGATTTTCGGCCCGGGGATCTTCGGAAGGACGGCATTGTGGCCGCCTCGGTGAATACCGATCCCTCCGCTTGGATCACCATTGGAGGTGTACGATACTTCCGTACTGGGGATGTGGGTGAGCTAGTTGCGCCCGGACAGGTGAAAGTGATAGATCGTTGCAATAATCATTTCAAGCTTGCCCAGGGTATCTATGTTTCCCCAGAGGTGGTAGAGGACATATTTATGACTTGCAAATTTGTGCGTCAAGTCTTCGTCTGGGGATGCAGCTTGATGCAATCGTTAGTCGCTGTGGTAGTGCCCAGTCGAGCTTTGCTGATGGAGTTGGGGCATCACACCACGTGTGCACAGTTCTCGGATTTGAAAGACGCGAATCTATTACAGCAAGCTCAGCGGTTGGTGCTGGGAAGCCTGCAGCAACTCTGCAGAGAGCATGGGCTAAAGCCCTGGGAGACACCGCAAATCATATTATTGGAGTGCAGACCGTTCTCCATGGAGGCTGGCCTTCTCACCTCCTCTGGCAAGTTGTGTCGGGCTGCTCTTATTCAACGTTATCGCCATCGTATCGAAGACGCCTACGGCGAATCACTGCCGCCCCCTGCCTTTCTGGAAGCGCCTATGTGGCCGAACGTTGTGGCAAGAGCTCTGCCAACCGTTGTGGAAACCCTTCTGGGAACACTTGGGGGAGGATGGCGGGGAGGATCAGGCGGAGGAGGAGGTGCAGGAGGAGGAGGAAGTGGAGGAGGAGGAGGAGGTGGCACCTCGGGAGTCTCTGGGGGCACTCTTGGGGCCTCCTGGGAGCTTTCTGGGAGCCTCTTGGACGCATCTTGGGGGCCTCCTTGGACCTCCTGGGGGCATTTGGGGGCTGCTCGGGGGCCTCTTTGGCCGTCTTGGTGGGCTCCTGGCCCGTCTGTCGCCGTCGGAAGCCGTCTTGGGGGCCTCTCTGGGCCGACTTGTGGCCCTCGTGGTGTGCTCCAGGGCCGTCTGGGCGGTCATCTTGGGCGTTTTGGAGGCCTTTTGGGCCGTCTTTGGGCCCTCTTGGGGCCGTCTTGGGGGCCTCTTGGGCCGTTTCTGGAGCCATACTGGAGGCCTCTCGGGCGATCTTGGGGCGATTTCCAGGGGCTCTTGGTCCGTCTCGGGCTGTCGAAAGGCCGGAAAGAAGCTAATGCCAAAATCCTTCAAACAACGCAGGGCAATCAATGATTTTGACCTCTTCGGGCCTTCCTGGAGGCCTCTTGGAGCCTTCTTGGGCCGTCTTGGGCCATCTTAGGGCCATCTTCGGCCGTCTTGGTAGGCTCCTGGCCCGTCTGACGCCGTCCGAAGCCGTTTGGGGGGCCTCTCCGGGCCGACTTGGGGCCCTCTTGGAGTGCTCCAGGGCCGTCTTGGAGGCTTCCTTGGGGGTCTCAGCTGCCTCTTGAGCCGTTTTGGGGACCCTCTTGGGGCCGTCTTGGGAGCCTCGGCAGTCTTGAGGCCATATTGGAGGCCGCTTTGGCGCTCTGGGGGCGATCTTGGGGGCCGCAAATGCGAAAATTAATCAAAAGCTACGGGAAATCAATGATTTTAGTCTCTTCGGGTCCTCCGGGAGGACCTCTCGGAGGCCTTTTGGGCCGACTGGGAGGCCTCCTGGGCACCTCTTGGGCAGTCTTGGGCCGTCTTGGAGGCTTCTTGGGCGGACTTGGACTTGGAGGCATCTTCGACCCTCTTGGGCCGTTTTGGAGGGCATCTTAGACCATCTTGGGCGTCTCTGAGGCCATCTTGAACAATCTTGGAGCGGGAAAGGCATTGACCTGGGGACTTCTGGCCGTTGAGGTCCCTTGTGCGCCCTTGCGTGCCCTTCCGGGTGACCGGCGGGACGGGCCAGAGCCCCAGGGGAGAGTTCGTTTGGACACAAGAAATAAGAATCAAACCGTAAGGATCCAGGGGGCGGCGGATCTCATGGCTTTCGGCTCAACCCGGCACCGTGCCTGGGTTGTGAGTCAGAGTTCTGAGGGATGCTTCGTGGGGTCTCTTTGGAGCGCTCTCGGGGGCCTCTTGGGGGCAGTTTCGGGGCCTCTCGGGGCCTCTTGGAGGCCTCTATGGGTTCATGGGGGCCTCTTGGGCCTCTTGAGGCCTCTCGGGGGCTTCTCGTGGGCCTCTCGGGGGGCCCTTAGGGCCTCGTGGGGGCCCCTAGGGTCCGTGGGCTCGAAATGTTCGTTTGGGTTTCCCATATGGGCTTCCTATTGGAGACGTCTTTGCGCCCTTTTCGGCCGCCTTGGGCGCCCCTTGGGCCGTCTTGGGGCGCTCTTTGGGGACTGGGGCCGCTATGGGGCGATCTTGGGGGCCTCGGGGGCCGTATAGGAGCGTCGGGAAGCCGAACATGCGAGGACGCCCAAATCCTTCAAAGGTTTACGGAAGCTCAATGTTGTTTGCCTTTGAGGGCTGTCTTAGGAAGCCTCTTGGTGCGTTTTGGAGGCCATCTTGGACGTCTTAGGGGCGATCTTTGGGCGTCTCGGGCCCCTCTTGAGCCGTCTTGAGGGCCTCTTGGGGTCCTCTTGGCCCGTCCTGAGAGAGGGTCACGCGAGGAAGCCCCCAGAGATTTCGGGATTCGCGGTCCGGGGCGCCTAAGCAGCTCCCAGGAGTGAGGGCTGCGGCTCAGGGGCCCCCCGATCCCCTCCTCCTCCTCCTCCTCCTCCTCCTCCTCCTCCTCCTCCTCCTCCTCTTCCTCCTCCTCTTCCTTCTTCTTCCTCGTCTCCTCCTCGTCCTCCTTCCTATTCCTCCTCCTCCTCCTCCTCCTCCTCCTCCTCCTCTTCCTCCTCCTCCTCCTCCTCCTCCTCCTCCCTCCTCCTCCTCCTCCTCCTCCTCCTCCTCCCTCCTCCTCCTCCTCCTCCTCCTCCTCCTCCTCCTCCTCCTCCTCCTCCAGGCCAAGGGCCCGAGGACATGCCCTCTTCCGTGCCCCAGGGGCACGGTGGCGGATCAGCAGTGGTGTCGAGGAGCCGCGATCTGCCACCCCGTGCCACGAGCACGAAGTTGGAGGTCTCTGCGCCGGCCTGCGAGAAGTTTTGCGCGAGTTTGCAGCAGCGCCGCAGGTTTCGGCCGACGACAAGATCTTGTCGCTGGGCTTAGACTCTCTAGGGTTTGTCCGCCTCTCTGCACGCCTCTCAGAGAGATTCGGCTTGGAAGTTCCAGCTGGAACTCTCTTCATGCTGGACACGTTTCAAGAGCTGGAGCGTGTTAGTCAGTGGCCTTCGGCCCTTCCAGCCACCGTGCCTTGGCTGTTGGTCAGAGGCCCCTTGGATGCCTTTGGGGATATCAGTGAGAGGCTTCTCAGAAGCCTCTTGGAGTCGGCTTTTGGATGGCTTTGTGGCGTCTTGGGGCCTCCAGCGGGCCCCGAGAAGCCCCCTGGAGTCTGGGGGGCTTCTTGGGGGCCCGCTGGCATGTCTGCTCGAGTTCGCCCTTCGGGGCCTGTCCTGGGCTTCTCTTCGGGTCCTCTTGGGCTGTCTTGGGGGCCTCTTGCTGGCCTCTCGTGCTGCCTTCGGGCGATCTTGGGGGCATCTTGCTGGCCTCTTGGAGCGTCGAAGGGCCCAAAAGGCATGAACGCTACAATCCGTCAAAAGCCGACGGAACATCAATGAGTTTGTCTTTTCGGGGCCCTCCTAGGCAGCCTCTTGTAGCCCTCTTGGGACGATTTGGGCGCCTCCTGGGCCGTCTGTAGGCCATCTTGGGCATCTTGGAGCGCTCTGGGGCCAGCCCGGAACCCTTCTGGCACGTCTCAGGGGGCCTCTCGGGGCCCTTCTGGCCCGACGTGGGTCTCGGGGCGTCTCCGAAAAAGTCTCGCAGGACCATGCGAGAAGACCCGAGAGATACGCGACGCGCGCCGGCCTCTGGTACTTCTTCACTCGGGACTGGGGACGGAGAACTCCAGGGGACTCGAGGACACTCCAACTCGTGCCTCAAGGCACGGTGACGGATATTTGGTGGGAGCTCTGCAATACGTCACGCAGTAGGTCGATGCACGCTTGTCGACTGGGACGCAGAGGCTAGTAGTGCATTGACCGATCTCCAATCAGATTTGAAACAGCAGTTCGGAGTGCATGCTGGGGGCACGAGTGCAGAAACTGGAAATTCAGTATCCAATCATGCTATTGTCTTGGTCTCAGGAGCTACTGGATTCTTGGGCGCGTTTATTTTGGCTCAACTAGTGGAAACATTGAAGGCGCAGAGGATCATTGCTCTCGTGAGAGCTTCCAGCCAGCGGACTGCGCAGAAGAGACTGGCCGAGACCATGTCCTTCTACAAGTTGATGAACGAGGACGGTGTAGCAAACAGCCTGGAAGTGTTAGCCATAGCTGGCATTGAGGAGGAGTTCTTGGGCCTCACCCCAGGCATGTACCAAGAAGTTGCCCAGGGAGTCCGTATCATTTACCACTGCGCAGCTCATGTCTCCTCTGGTCTTCCGTACGCAGCGCTTCGACCTTGTAATGTCGTGGGCACCCGGCGATGTGTAGAGTTGGCGTTGCGAGCTGGGGCTAAATTTGTATATATTTCGACCCTCGGCTTTCTCGATGGAGGCCATCCAGAGACTGCTTCGGTCAGCCCGACGTCCCTGGCTGGAAAGTCAGGATACGTCCAGTCAAAGTGGGTCGCTGAAAAGCTTGTTTGGCAGGCACAGGAGCATCTGGGGTTGCAGGCTCTGGTTTTCAGACCTGGTGCAATTTGCGGCGATTCATTTTCTGGCGCAAGCAACCCCAAAGATGCTGTGAGCAACATTGTATGCGGGTTAGTTCGTTTGGGATGTGTCAGCGTTGATCCTCGCTCGCCTCTACCACTTTCCTTCAATCTAGTGCCAGTGAACTACGTGGCTGATGCAGTTATTCGCATTTCGTTGCAAGACGATGCGTGGGCTCCTGTGCCATACCACCTTTGTGCTTCTACTCGGATTATGCTGCCAACCATTGCGCTCTGGATAAGACACGCTGGTCATGGCCTCGAAGAGGTACCGCCAGAGGTGTTTTGTGCCCGGGTGCGTCAGGTGATTGAGTCTCACCCTTTATTCATGTTCAAGTTGCAACTCTCACAATGCCGCCAGGTGAAAGGGCAATTGTCTTTAGAGCCGGTTGCAAAGCATACAGTCCGAATGCTGCGGTCGAGACCACATCTCCCCAGGGACCTGACTCAGCCAGCCTTTACCAAATCTCTGGATTTCTTGTTGCGAGAGTCACAGCAATGGCACCAGTCAGTATAGGCGGACATTGGCTTACATCTTGTCCGATGTCCAACATACAGCGAGAGTGCGCAGCCTTCCTCATGACTCAATTGGCAGCTCGAGTGCGAAAGCATGGTTCCAATGGGCAGCCAAAACGGTATGATCTAACATTTATTCAACACGTGCGCCAACGAGTTCTAATACACATGTTGTTTTCAAGCGCAACTGACTGGCAATCCACCATATCGCAAGCATTGAACTTCGATTCCTTGGGCTAGGTTATGCAGCCGATGCTGTGCAGCCGATGCTGAGCACTATATGCTGTGCAGTCTATGTTTAGCAATGTTTGTTGTGATATCTATGTGGAGCGCCTCAAGATGTGCAACCTATGTGGGCACATCTATGTGGGGAACTCTACGTGGTGCTAAATAGTTCGTGCTTTCTATGCTTGGCAGGACTAGAGGAGACGCAATATATGTTGCGCGGTTGATGTGGTGCAATCCCCGTGATGCATCCAAATGATGTTGTGGTATGTATGGCGTGCCGTACTGATTGTGGCGCACTCTTTGTGGTGCAATCTATGTGGAGCAAGATGTGCGCTGCAATCCAAGCGGTTCAACCTATGTTGTGCAACATATGTTGCGCCCACGTCTCGCAATTTAGATGTGGTGCATCATGGGTTCTAACATCGATGTTGAGCCAAATAGGTCATGCAACATAAGCTGAGCAATATCGATTGTACAATCTATCTGGCGCAATATATGTTGTGCGAGCTATGCTGAGCAATCTGTGCGTCGGCGGCGAGGCAGCGACGGGGGGCGACGGCGAAAACATTGCCGCCAGACCGCCAGTTCGGCCCCGACGTCGGGCGGCGATGAGGCGGCCACGAGCACAACACAGCCACCAGACCGCCATTCAGGCCCTGACGTCGGGCGGCGACGAGGCGGCGACCGCGACAGCAGATCCGCCAGACCTCCATGCAGGGCCAGTCCCCTATAGAGCACACGTGAGAGCCCCTGATGGCAAGCTTTGTTTGGGGAATGTGCGCTGGCCGCATGTCCGATCGATTGGGATACTGTAGAGGGTGTTGTGGTCGACGTGTTGGGGGAACACGCCCATTTCGGCCAGATCTGGGGTCCCAGAGGGGCCCCAAACCTTAGTGTTTACCGCCCTAGCCCCTGTGAGCAGGCGCCGACGTCGAGAGGTGATGCCCGCGCTCACATTTGTGCATCGGTCCAAATATTACAGCTGCCTGCGGCACACCTCGGCGCCGTGCCAGCGCAGCCGTGCAGTGGGAAGGAGGTTCAGCTCCTGACCTGATCCAGTTCGGTGCCGTGCATGAAGTCGCACAATGTCTCATTTGGCGCGGGTCTTGAACTCCACCTCCCCTCTCCGCTTTTTGTCAGTATTGCAATGAATAGCGGATAGGAGGAGGAAGAGGGAGGTGGAGTGCGAGACCCGTTCAAGTTACGTGTTTTGTTTGATCCCGCGCGAGTCTTAAACACCCGTTTTTTTTCTGCATGCGCTCCGTTGTGGTTTCTTGCGTATCGTTCGTTATGTTTCTTCCTCCTCGTCCTTCGCATTCCATGGTCTGAACTGACGCAAGTCTGAAGCTCCACCTCCTCGGTGCCCCCTTCCTCCCGAGATTTCCAACTTCCCCCTTCCAGAAGAGAACGAAGCGAGGCAGATGGGGGAGAGAATGAGAACATCGATGAATGGCGGCAGGAGGAGGTTTATGTCGAACTTAGGCCTGCTCCAATTGCAAGAGAACGAGGAGGAGGTTGTTGAGTTTCAGACCCGTTCCAGTTGAGCGTCCTGTCTGAACTCGCGCGGGTCCTGTGTCAGCCTTCTCGGGGGTTCTTTGGCCTGTTTGGCGCTTGCTGGGGGCCCGTTTGGGGTCTTGGGCATGTCTTGGGCACGATAGTTCCCCTTTCGGGGGCATCTTGGAGGTCTCTTAGGGGTTCTTGGACTTGGAGCCTCTCGGGGGCCTCTTGCGGGCATGTTGGGCATCTTGGTTTTGTGGGCCATCTGAGAGGGAGAGGCTTCCAAGGCCAGAACGAGTTCCTCCTATGGGGCCCCACTTGGGGCCTTCTTGGGGGCTTCTTGGTCGGGCTCTCTTGGGGCCTTCTTGGGATGTCACGGGGGCCTCTGAGGCCGTCTTGGGGCCCCCTTGCCCTTGGGGGCCTTATAACAAGTTGCGGAGCTATCCTGGGGGGCTCTTCATCGGTCCTTGGGGCGCCCAGGGACGGCTGCGCGTGCCCCGTGTCATCCGGAAAGGTTAATTGCAGTCCGGCGTTGTTCGGCTTAGTCCTGGGCTTACTCTGGCACGATCTGGCAGAGCTTGCCTCTCGACCTGCTCGTCCGCCCGGGGTATACGGGAACAGCTGAGCAGGAGGTCCTGCACTACCGTGGACAGTAGGAATGCAACGCTCGCGCGCTGTCCGTCTCCACGCGCCCTCCTGAATTTCAGTGTTCGCGCAGGGCGCCGCGCGATTCGGGGGCCTGGGGAAGGGTGCGCGAAACCATTGCTTTCCCAGGGGGGTGCACTGCCCGGCCAGGCGCACTCATTCTCGCTGTGTGCAGCCCCTCGCGCAGGGCGGCGTGTCCCTCTTCCACTGGAACGCCCAGCAACGGCACGGCCAGAGGGCTGCGCTTGAGACTCTTCCCTGTGCTCGCTCGGGCGGCAGGCGGCGTGGTCCGACCGCGCTCCTCACTTTTGGCAGAAGCCTTCGGGGAAGGCTCTGCGGTCGGGCCACGCGGGGAAGGCGACGAAGGGGCAGGCCCGTGATGCAGCAGCGCGCAGCTCAGCGCGCGAGCCGTATCTCCCCCAAAGTGCTGGCGCTCAGGGTCTCTGACGTACAGTCAAATCCATAGTAAGGACGAACGGTTGTCCTTAGGGTACCCTTGCGTCCTTGCCTTTGCGGCCCGCCCTTCGTGGTTTTCGCTGGCCAGCCCTTGAGGATGTTGGCAGCCCGCCGCCCAGAAAAAGTGCGAATTCCGGCGTCCAAGGCCCTGGCGTCTTTACTGCCTGTCCCTACTCTAGATTTTGACATTAGCTTCTCGGTACTTCGGTGGGCTCCCAGGGTGTTCGCCCGGTCGCCACCTTCGTGGGCGCACTTTCGTGGGCGCCTCGTGGACGTCTCGCGCACCCTAGCTGACTTCACGGTTTTTTGTCGCCGCCTGGTCACTGGACCCCTCGTGGTCGTGTCGTGCTCGGGCTGGGTATTCGGGGTTGTCGCCCGGTCGCCGATCGTGTGCGCCTCGTCGCCGCCTGCATAGCTTGCACCACGTAGTTTGCCTCGCGTAGATTCTCCTTTCTTAAAAGAGAATAGACTCTACCCCCCCGGCGTTATCGGTCCCCCTTTCGGGTATGTAAATCACATATGATTCACATATGATTCTGACCATATGTCCATCTTAAATGTGAAATCACAATGTCCCAGGGCAACCTGGGTCCCCCCCTCTGAGGTCCCCTTGTAAAAAAACACTATGCGGTGACATGTTCTGTTCTAACATAACACTTTTTCGCGAATCCTTTACAAAACATGAGACGAAGTGCACACGCGCGCGTCGTCGCGCGCGCATGCCGAAATCATCCAAAAACCTTCGGTGCTGGAAGGATTTCGCAATCGAGTTTCCAAAACACACAAAAACTCAGGGTTTCGCAACACTGATTTGCTAAAAAAGCTTCCGCGCGAGCTCTTGCAACATCTTAAAGAAAACCATAGGTTTTTCAAGATTTTCACAGAATGCTATGAGAAGGGGTTCGCGCGCGCATGTCGAAATCTGTCGAACGCCCTTGCGCGTGTGCCGTCGCGAGAATCCTTTGCAAAAAATGGGACGAAGTGCAGACGCACGCGTCGTCGCGCGCGTATGTCGAAAACCTGCAACATCCATCGGTTTCGGAAGGATTTCAAAACCGTGTGTCCAAAAAACCTACAAAAACACAAGGTTTCGCAACGCGGATTTTCAACAAAAGCGTGCGCGCGCGCTCTTGCGTCGTCGTCGTCGTCGTCATCGCCGTCCTCCCTCCTCCCGCGTCGTCGTCGTCGTCGCCTACGTCATCCTCTGTCTTCCCTCGTGTTCGTCGTCGTCGTCCTCTTTGGCGTCGTGGTCGTCTCCGTCGTCGTTGTCGCCGTGGTCGTCCTTCCTCCTCCTCCTCCCTCGTCGTCGTCGTCGTCCGTCGTCGGCGTCTCGTCGTCGTCCCTCCTATTTCGTCGCCGTCGTCGTCGTCGTCGTTGTCGTCGTCGTCTTCCCTCCTCCCTAGTCGTTGTCGTCGTCGGCGTCGCCGTCCTTCCTCCTTCTTCGTCGTTCGCGTCGTCGCCGTCCTCCCTCCTCCCTCGTCGTTGTCGTCGTTGTCGTCGTTGTCGCCGTCGTCGTCCTTCCTCCTCCCTCGTCGTCGTCTTCGTTGGCGTCGTCGTCGTCTTCGTCGTCGTCGGCGTCGGCGTCGTTGTCGTCGTCGAAGTCGTCGGAGACGTCGTCGGTGTCCTCGTAGTCGTTGTCGTCGGTGTCGTCGTAGTGGGTCTTAAGAGGTTTTGCAAACCGAGTTGCGGGTGGGTGGGTGGGATGTTTGCAAGGGCGTGGGATGTGTCAAATCATGGGTAAAACTCAGTTGCACCACATAGAGTTCACCACGAAGATGCTTCACGTACCTTGCGCCACTCTGTTTGCAACACGTCGCTTTAACCACGCAGCTTGCAACATTCCATCTACTGTGCCACGTAGCTTGCACCATGTTGATCTGCCACAGAGTTCACACATCCTCAGGATAACGACTCACCGTTATGGCTCACGCTGGCAAGCGCACGCACACACGCACACAAGGATAGCCACACATACGGGCATCATGAACATGCATAAGTTTGAGCACGTGTGCATTCGCATGCGCGAATGTACAGATATGTAGCTCTACACGTGTCCGAGTCGTCTGCCCCACGCGTGCTTGACTACTTACTTGGACCATGAAGTCGACCGTGGTCTCCAAACAGCTCCTTCAGTACCCAAGTTCACACCGCGCGAGTCCCATAATCTGGCAAGCAGTCTCATCATTGCAATCGTCCTTCATCTTGTCATATGGGTTAGCAGTGGGCTCGCACCGAGAGGATCAGTTCATTCCACTCCATCCTCTCCGTGCTTCCACTCCTTCCGCTCTCCTCTCTCATCTCTTCTCTTCTTTTCGTGGGGGCAAGGCCGTCTTTGATAGTTTCCAGACCATCCTTGCCGGTGATTCTTCGCCAGGCGTAGTGCACGCTGATTTATGTTGCCACGCCCACGCCGTTGTTCGAACCACACCATTTCCTCTTGCTCGGTGAACATCGCAAGCCACCTCCGCCAAGCTGGCGTCGGAACTGGCCCCGTCGTCGTGAGCGAGAAGTGCAATCTCCGGGTACACGAGCACCTCCCCAACAGTGCTTTCAAGGCCGAGAGTGGGCTCGCAAGCAACCCCTGGCCCACCGCCAGGCGGACTACACCGCCACCAAACTCGCCCTCATGTAGCCGCACGCAGACCCCCATTA